CTCTCTCTCTCTCTCTCTCTCTCTCTCTCTATATATATATATATATATATATATATATATATAAGGATGTTAAGAATGCAAATACAAATATAGAAGAAGAGAAATTGAGACAAATAGTACTAGAGGCACTTGTTCTATTAGATGTAAAGTTAATTACAATAGAAAGATTAAATGAATATAAAGATAATAAATAAGAGAAGACTAAACTACTCTTGGTAAAATAAAACACAGTATAAGAGTTTATGGGACTTATTATTTAACATTCCTTCAAACTTAGAATGCGTCACAAAAAATCATTGAGAATTTGCTAGTTAAGAAACGAAATCGTTTAGGAGAGTGCAATTTTGTGAACAAATTAACAATCTACATAGAAGAAAAGACAAATGGTAAGGTAATAGTCCCTTATATGTAGTGTAACCAATAGTGAAATGATAATCAATTTCAATGTACTTAATGTGCCCATAAAGGACAAAAATTATGATTGATCTAGATAACACTCTTATTATCACAATACATAGGAGTTGGTGTAGAAATGAGAACAATTATAGAGTTAAGTACAAGATCTCACAAATGAGAAACTAAGCGATTATTGTACTAACCAAATAAATTTCACACCATACCTTTTTCCGTCAATCTAACCACTGAAAATGAAAAAATGTATGTGAGGAACTTGTTGTCAAAAAATCAAGTTGATCCACTGACAAATGAATGCACAATAATGTTTTTACTAAAACTACTTGGTGAGAAAAAAAGAATGATTCTTCCTCTCTTTTTCTCCTTAATGATTTCTATTCTTACTCAAAGAAAACAACTTTTTCTTAGATGCAATTTCTTGAATCAAAGCTTGTTCTATATATCATGTTAAAAATGCAAATATAAAAGAAGAATATAAAGAAATAGTACTAGAACACTTGATCTATTAGATGCAAAACCAATTACAATAGAATGACTAAAAAAATATAAAGATAACAAAATAAGAAATGACTAAACTATTCTTAATAAAATAAAACAAAATATAAGAGCTCATTAGACCTATTATTATTTTGTAGAGTGTAATAGTGTCTTTTAATTTGTTATAATTTATAATTACATGTGTCTTATAGAGATGACTACACGAAAGTGAAAATTTGTTTTAAAGAGATGGTCACAACCATCCTTCTAATACTAACTTATTAATACTTTATTTAGTGATAAGATTCATTCAATTTTTTTATTTTTAATCCATGATAAGGAAAGTACAATATTTTATTTTATATTTACTTATTTCATGATAAAAGTTTCTAAAGAAAATTATATATATAGAAAGAAGAGAAATCTGTTTATTCTATAAATAAGTTTATCTGTAATTACTCTATTCAATAACTTATATTTTATATTAAATATTAACAACTTAATAATTGAATTTAAAATTCTTAATATACTAATTAAATTTATAAATTTTTAAAAAATTTAAAAATTATTAATATTTTATTTTATTAATTTAAATTAACAAATAATCATAAAATTATATATCAAGTTCGAGCTCGAAGATAGCAATATGATATGTGCTTTGGTCCATGTGTGTTGGCGTCTGGCATCGGTGGCTAAAATGGCTGCACGGGGATCAATATATGAACTTCGATTCCTTTTTGGTATAAGGTTAGTTGATTAACATTTTTTTTCCTTTCGATTTCGGGTTTTTGTTCATCCGTAACCCACTACACTAGTACCAAAAAGAAACACTTTGGGCTTATTTCTTTTAACCCAAAAAAATTGTTTGCACTTTGGGGCTCTCATAAGTTCTATTAGGATTGGTCCTGGGCTTGTTTCTTGATCTGGCCTCTCCTTTAATAAATGGAGGCCCATAAATATAATTTCCAAACAACACGTAAAGCGGAATATTTTGCCGTAAATAAAACGCGAAAAGAAACGCCCACAAATAAATAAATAAATAAATAAAAATCAGTCATTTTTATTTGTACAACATTTTTCGACGTGAACGTGATATATTTTTCGCACACCACAAAGATAAAATAATGTGTGAGAAATGCTCAAACAAATTCCCCAACACTTAAAAAAAGCCCTAAAAAAGGGGGAGAATTTGGACTGCTAAGGAAAAAAAAAAAAAAAAGCATGATGGAATTATTTAAACTGTATAATGGACATCCCAATAATATGCATGACAAAATTAAGTGGCCGTATAATCTAATATTTGTTTTATGTGAGGTAGTGTTCCATGCTTATCTATATGTCTTGGTTCATGCAAGATCTTCAAACATTAAAGTAACTGAAAAAAGAATATGAATATGATAAAAGATAAGTTTTTTGATGAAGGAGAATTCTGAAAAGTGAAGTCTTCCATGCGTCCAGGAATTAAACCACGATCATAAACTCATTCCTACTCATATAGATTCTATACATATTCTTTTCAAATTGTGAGTTTCAAACTTTGTATAAAAATATTGGATATAATTATTCTTTTCTTAAAAAGTCCATCATGTGAAATTAACTTCAATGATCTAACAATGTATACGTAGATTCCTTCCATTTTTTTATTCCATTTTCTCCCCATCTAATTATTCCATTCAGCCATGCATGCTCTAATCTTTGCTTATTCACTTTAAGACACTTCATAAACGTGTTAAAATAAGACGGAATATAACATAACAATTTTATTATATTTTTTATGCATAAACCAAACTGGGAATAGGAACATCAAATATCATATTTTAATTTTTTTATAAAATATATAATAAAGAAAAGTAGAACAAGACAAATATTATATTCCATTCTATTTACACGCTAAACACTTTTAAAAAAAAAATTTAATTTTCACCCCAATGGTTTTATGATGTTTAAAAATTCCTAACTTACTTTCAAACAGAAATAGTGGTGAGAGTTGAAATAATTAATATGCACAACATTCTTCTTATTAAGATTTAATCTTTCCTGTGAATAAATACATATTAGTTATTGAAGCATCTGATAATGGTAAAATAACATAAAAAAATGTTTATATGATTTATGTATATTTATAGAGAAAAATGATTTTATGTTATCATAATTTTAAGCTTTAGCTAATTATACTTAAAAATAAAATAAAGAAAGATATCGTCTAATTTTTTTTATATATATATTAACATAAATACTTTTATATTATCGATCAATTATTAGAGATTATTTCAAACATAACTTTTAAACTAAATATTAAAAAAGTTGAAAAAAACTTGTCATATATAATAATTTGTGATTAATTAAATGACTTATTTGAGCTGAAATCACCAAATTATTCTTTAAATTTTTGAAGCAAATGACATGTTAGTCCTCTTGTGTTTTGATCATGAGGGCTAACATATGTTGTGTTTATAGTTTTGAAAGATGAAAAAGATTATTTTTGTTTCACGAATCAAAGTGTGTTGATTAAATTTTTTTTTAAGAGACATAAAGGCACGATGAAGAGATAATGTGGAGAGGAGAATAAGGGGATTCGTTGTGGGGTAATGGCGATGCAATTTGGAGGAAGAGAGATAGATGTATGAGACAAAGAATAATAAAAAGAAGAATATGAATTATGCAATGAAGGGAACCATAACATAACCAACTCATCACTTTCACTATTTCTTTTGTTGTAGCTTCCAATCCGAATATTGTTCACAAAAACGCACACGTACCCCCTCTTACTTTCCAACTCGCATCTTTCTTCTCCTTTTCTTTTTCCATTTATATCTTACTAAATTATAAAATTAAACACTCCTTTACTAAAACATGAGTTTTAATTAATTTCATTTTATTCAATCATACAATTCTCAAACACACTGTTAATTTAATTAAGATTGTATTTTCTTTTATTTTTTATATTAAGTCACAGTGAAAGATAATTTGGAAAATATTTTTTAAATGAGATTAATAAAACTAAAGAATGTTAACTAATTTTCTTATGTAGTTATAAATCATTTTTTTACTTATATATAAATTTGGAGGGAGTATATTATTGTGCACGTGTTGTTTAGAAAATTTTTATCCTCCTTAAATAAGTTTTGATATTTTCTTTATACAATCAAGACTCACGAGGAATGTTAATACATTCTTTTTTACTTTTTATTTATTGATTAACATTTATTAAAAATCATAATTTGATGAGTTTCACTATTAAATCCCGTTATATACTATCCAAATTTATAGATTTTAATAAATTTTAGGCGATAAACAAAAAAGTGTAAAAAAATACCACTAACATTTCTTGAATAGACATAATTATCATTGTTATTATTGCTTTCCTCTTTTTTCTCGATTTCATTTTTTATATATATAAAAGAGTTATGTATTCTATTAATATAATTGAGTTTTTTTTCTCTAAAAGAAAGAAATAAAATTATAGTATCTATTATTGTGTTAACTAAATATATTGTGTTGTTAATTCACCAAATTTAAAAATAAAATACATTCTCATCCTACTATAAATGAGTTTTATCATTTCTTTTTTTGAATAGACACACTATTATCATTTATGAATGCTATTATTGCTTTCCTGTTTTTCATTTTGGGAAAAGAAGTATGCTATTCTGTAAACGAAACGTTAAAAATGATCCATTTCAGTTTGGGAAAAGATGTAATCTATTTTATTAAAAGTGAATGATTTACTTGTTTGGCACGTAAGTTAAGAATTTTTTGCCATAGAAATCGAAAGATAGTAAAGCATGAGGGCATTATCGTAATTTCAACTTTACCTTGGCTTCTATATAAGTGTCACCTCTTCTTCCCATAACAACCCAAGCAATTTGCATACATCAAAACCGAACCCCCTTTTCTCTTCAATTTCACTTTTATTAGCATTTCTTCAATACTTGTAAGTGCATTGCTGTCTCCTTTTTTTTTTGCGACAAAATCAATTTTCATTTGAGTTTTTTTTTATTATTCTTCTTTTGATTCATTTGGTCTATTCAGATTCAAAGTTTAATTGCGAGAAGGGCTATCAGAAGAATTAGATTGTTCTTCCATTGTTTATAATTTGTAAGTATCATATTTTTATTTTTTAACATTCTTGTTTATGTTATGGAAGAATACATACCATCAAGGTTTTAAATTGTACTCGCGGTCACAATCTTTTAAATTTGTAAACGGATGTTATTGACGTGGAGGATACTCCAAAATCTTGATCTTGCAGTCAAAATCATCATTGCAAACCTTGTGCTGAGAATTATTTTCTGGGTGTTGTTGTATTATTTCCAAGATTTTTCCTGTTATGAAATTTTGTTAATTTTTTGTTTCAATCTGGTTATAAGCTTTTACTCCTTTTCTTCAATTTTCTGTGTTTATGGAGACCGGAAAGAACATTTTGGGTTCTGATTTTTAATATTGGTTATGAACTTTGATTACCTGTCTCGCTAGTTTTATGACCATTTCAGAATGCTCAATGTTTCTTAGGTTTCAGAAATTTGTTTTTGAAAAAAAGATACAGTAGTCTGGAGGGTACATTTTTGAATTTTTAATATTGTTGATTTATTTTACGTAAAATCTGATAGCATAGCATACCTGTTTTGTTCCTATTGATCACATTTTTGTATCAGATGATTATTAAATTGATATGATCATTGAACAATACTATTTGTTCATTAGACGAGGTGTTTGTTCAAAATTGCAATTTTCCGTGCATAATTTTATACATTTATGATCCTCTCACACAAAAATTGCTGTGTTGCGATTATTATCCTATTCTGTCATTGATTTTGCTGTGTTGTTTGGTCAGGAAAAGTCTGAATGATCTGATGGAGTCTAAAGGTGGGAAGAAGAAGTGTTCTAGTAGTAAATCCCTTTTGTACGAAGCTCCTCTCGATTACATCATTGAAGACGTTCGACCACACGGTGGAATCAAGAAGTTCAGATCAGCTGCTTACTCCAACGTAATTTTCTCTCTCATTTTGTTTCTTCTGATGACGATTAAATGGAGACATTTAGCATCCAACATGTTGTCTAACACTCAATTTTTTTGTTCCTGGTGCAGTGCATCCGCAAGCCATCCTGAGATTTTCTTGATTGTGTGACATAGCCCCCGTGATTTTGCATCTGCTTTATTATTACAGTCTCCTCTTTTCCTTTTTCTTGTTCTCTTCTTTCCTGCATTTTTTGTTCTCTACCTACCTACACAGCAAGAGTTTGTTTCTTTTTGAGTCAAGATGGAAGGCTCAGCTATTGGTTTTGAAGGCTATGAAAAAAGGCTCGAGATATCATTCTTTGAGCACGGTGTGTTTGCTGACCCTGGAGGATTAGGCCTCCGAGCACTCTCTAAAGACCAATTGGATGAGATTCTGACACCAGCAGAGTGCACCATTGTTTCATCACTTTCAAACGACTATGTTGACTCTTATGTTCTGTCAGAGTCAAGCCTGTTTGTCTACTCTTATAAAATCATCATCAAAACCTGTGGAACTACAAAGTTGCTTCTGTCAATCCCTGTCATTCTCAAGCTTGCTCAATCTCTTGACATTGCTGTGAAATCTGTGAGGTACACACGAGGGAGTTTCATTTTTCCTGGAGCACAGTCATTTCCTCATCGCAGCTTCTCAGAGGAGGTTTCTGTTCTTGATAGCTACTTCAGCAACCTTGGTGCTGGTAGTAAGGCTTATGCTATGGGTGATCCTTCTAAGTCACAGATTTGGCACATATATTATGCCAGTGCAGAGACACAAGGTTCATCAGAAGCTGTCTATGGCCTTGAGATGTGCATGACTGGTTTAGACAAGGAAAGTGCTTCTGTGTTTTTCAAAGATAAAACATCTTCTGCAGCTTCGATGACAGAAAATTCTGGAATTAGGAAGATCCTTCCACAGTCTGATATATGTGATTTTGAGTTTGACCCTTGTGGGTATTCAATGAATGGAATAGAAGAGAGTGCAATATCCACCATCCATGTCACCCCAGAAGATGGCTTCAGCTATGCAAGTTTTGAAGCTGTTGGTTATGAGTATGATGACAAGACTTTGGTTGAACTTGTGGAGAGGGTTTTAGCATGCTTTCAACCAGCAGAGTTTTCTGTTGCTTTGCACATTGACATACACGGTGAAAAACTTGAGAAATTTCCATTGGACATCAAAGGGTACTACTGTGGAGAGAGGATCACTGAAGAGGTTGGAGTGGATGGTGCAGTTGTGTACCTTACATTTGTCCAAAGCGATGGCAGTGCGTCTCCCAGGTCTATTCTAAAATGCTGCTGGAGTAGTGAGGATGAGAACGATGATGAAGTGAGGGAGGTATAGTTAGTTATGTTCTATGTGGAGTGTTTATCTTTATTGTCGAGTGTTTATTAATAAATTTGGGGGTTATTATGTGAGAGTAAGTATGTTATTTTGTTTGTGTGATTATGCAAATGTTTTCTTATTTGTACCCTCAACTCATTATATGAGGGAGTGTTGAACCTGCATTTCATTGTTATATAAATAAATATATTATAATTTATATATATTTTTAAGTTATTGATGACACATGCTTAATTCAATAATTCAACTTTAATCATGCCTTCCTGATGGTATCTTTTTTGAAACTAATGACTACTAGTTTTTTAAGGGTTTTTTTAATATTTTTTTTATTACAGTTTCATCGAAAGTAATCATTTTTTTTCTTCTTGTGTCTTAAAAAAGACAAAATAACATTTGGTACTTATAAATTCATAATCTAAACGCACATTAAATGTAAAATATGATTTCGGTTATGGATTATTTATTTATTTATATTATAATATTGATGAGAGTATTTTTTGATTTTGTTGGAATCTAGTCTACCTTAGAATTTTAAGGACATTAAAGTTATTTTTTTAAGGTCATTTTTTTAATCAAATTCAAGACTTGAGTTAAAGACTTGAGTTAAAGATTTCAAGACATGTAGACTAAGTATAGCACCAAAAGTTGGTAGTTTGGAATATGGATTGCATAATTATTAGGAAGTTTGTGTTTTATACTAGTATTTTTAAGGTAAAAATAGAAAACATATAAGAAAATACTAATATTATTAAAAACTTAGAAAGTACTTATTTTTTAATAAGTATAGTAAGAAATGTGTTTATTTTTTTTATTATAAATAATCAATTCTTATATATTTAATGTGAAATAAAATCAAATTCAAACTTGAGATTTTAAAACTTGAGGACTAATTATAGTATTAGTTAGACCAACAAACATAATTAGCGGTTGATTTTATAAATTACATAATTATTCAAATGTTTGTGTTTGTACAAATATTTTTAAGTTTGATAATATTAAAAATAGAAAAATATAAGAAAATACTAACATTATTATAAAATTGTAAAAGTACTAATATTTTAAAAAGTAACTTCACCTTGGTTATGCTGGCATAATTTGGATGGCATCAAGCATGAATGAGACAAAGAGCTCCTTACCTCATTGACACCAGGTGTGAGTGTTGCGTTGGGCATGAGATAATATGTTGGTGTTTTAGTGAATCTATACAATGTATGATAACTATTCTGCATATGTTGATTGGATATGATATATGTAGATGTTTCATGTTTGTATGGTGTTGGAAGATGGTGAATATATATATATATATATATATATATATATATATTAGCTATTAGACATAGAGAACTTGACAGGTATATACTTTATATATATATATATATATATATATATATATATATATATATGTATGACGAATGATTTATATAGCATTGATATGTCATGTGTGGATGTTGTTGTTAATTTTTATATACATTGATTAGATATGATGTATATGTTAGATGTACGATGAGGTTTAGTTGCTAAAATGTGGCATAACATTAAAGCATAATTAGCCAACTTAGGACTTAAGGAAGGGAAATTATTTTAAAAATTAAAGATCACACATAGAGTATCTTGGAGTGGTGCTCGTATAAACCATTATTAAAAAACCCTCAATGAGTAGCTATGTCTCTTGGAGTGAGCTTTTTTTAGGTGTGTTGAGTCTTTTATAGATCCTTAGTTAGTGGTTGAATGAGGTAGGAGGTTCAGGGCTACAACCCTTAACCAATTACTTGAAAAGGTTATGTGATTTCTTGAGGATGGCCAATGGACTAAATCCACATGTAATTTGGTAATGCATGTCAAGGTCGTGATATATATGCCTATACCCTGTTGTACCACTCTTAACGGTGGAATTAAACTTTCTTAGTTTAAGTTATGAGACCCGAGAAATCAGAGGAGGGATTAGTATCCTATTTTGAAATGATCGAGTTGACGTTTCGACCGCAAAAAGGATTAGGTTGGTTCGGTAGGATGGAAATTACTTTGATTGCTCATATTGTTCAGAGATGAATGCATGACGATGCATTCATTGATATGTTTGCATATAATGGGTGTTTAGTTGTATTCATATGCGTTGTTAATGTCTGGTGCGACATGATTTGGATGAGATGCATGTTTGCTTAAAGTGTTGTAGCTTCATGTATGGTTGTGGTGTAATGTTGTATATATAGGATTATTTTTTATATGTACATGTTTTTGGACTCTAACTTACCTTTTTGTTTCTATATTGGTTTGGATTGTGATGGTCATTCATTGTTGGTGACAACGCTATTGTGTTCGACTAACACTAGGGCATATGACTATGTGGTATTTCTGTATACATGTATATATCCTGTTTATATTAGTTCGATTGTTTTATTTTTATATATTCACACCATATATTTATATGTATGTCATGTTCTTTCCCTTAATCTTATATATTTTAGTAATATGGTTTCCATACTTAAAGTAGTAAGTAGTGAGTTCGTTGAGTACAATAATCATGACGGATCAATATAATTTTTAAAAAAATTTAATCTTGTACAATAATATTTTTTTTATCTTAAAGTAAAAATATGACTTATGCATTTAAAATATATTTTATAAATTTAAAATATAATTTATATATTCAAATATAATATTTATTTGTATATATAATTTATTATTGTATTTAGTATATATAATAAATATTTAGCTATAAAAAGTATTGACTAAAATGTTAGTAATATATTATTTTATTATAAAAGAGCAAATTAAAGTGTTGTTTTTAACATTAATGAAGGAATTGTGAAAATATATTGTTTTTAAATTCAATTGATTAAGATTATAATAATTTTAAATTCAGTTTATCTGAAAATTTTGACGTATTCAATTAGCGTGGCATATTAAGGTTCCAATTTCAAAATTTAAATTAAGATAAACTAGATTTAATTAAATATTTGAAACAAATAAAATACAATAAAATAGTTATTTTTGTTTTTTTGTTCGTCCCTGGAGTATCCACCGCCGACAGCAATGACTAATCTCCTCACTACGTTGGAGGCACCTCAAAGGGTGGGATAGCTGGCCCCAAGATTTAACGCGGCTGCATACACAAGGCAGGATTTGAACTCCTGACCTTGCTTAAGCGTGGATCAATCCCTACCGCTGAACCACACACTTGGGGTAAAATAGTTATTTTTGTTTAAAAGTAAGTATTTAAATTTATAATGTGGAATTACTAAAAATAAACATGATTTTTGAAACTCATCCAATCTTTAACTTCATTCAGTATTGCAATATGCCATTACCTCTTGCTCATATATCTTGAGTTTCCTTTTTGATATACGTAAACAAAATTTGATAATATTTATTCTTATAACATTTCAATTTTTTTTAACTAAATTAATAAGAGAGTTTAATTAATGAATTGGAATGTTTCATAAATATGAATGTTCTAAATAATATAAGAAATGTTTGTAAAATTGTTTATATATTTGTTGTTGAAAAAAATATGCATTATAATATGTTGCTTTTAAGGTATTCTAATAATATTTTTTGTTTTAATTAATAAGAAAGAGGGAAAAGTAATTGTAGTTAATTTTATTAATTGATGAATTAAATATATATTAAGAAGTTATAAGAGAGGTTAGTATAATTTTATACAATTTCAACCAAATAGTACATTCCGATGAATTAAATAAAAGAAATTTGATTTGCTTTCAAAAAAAAAAATTATAACTAACTAAAAAAAAATTGCACAAGAAAAGATCAAAAAATGATTTTTTCATTAAATTGATCATTCTTATAATATATGAATGTAACATCTTTAATTATTACGTAAATTCATTAAATCATTTTTATAATTTTTTAAATGTAAAATTTAAGAGTATTTGATATCGGATATTCAGAAACCTTATTTATGAAATAAAAGTTTTCATGATATAATAAAGATTTAAATTTAATAGTTAACAAATTTTTGTGCTGACGTCACGCCAATAAAAATATGTAACAATGTTTTTTTTTGGTGAGGGAAAAAAAAAATAAGAAAGAAAATTAAGAAACTACATCTAACAGAAGCCACTTGAGTACAGATGGAGGAGGACTCGTCCAATATTCAAAAACAGGGGAGGACAAGGCCCCCAGCTTTGCCAAGGCATCCGCACTGCAATTACGATCTCTATCAATCCAAAGGAAGTTCACCATCCAAGGTTTGTCTACCAAGGAGAAAATATCAAGGAGATAAGAAGCATGAGAGTGTAGGTAAGCTTGATCTCTATGAAGAAGAGACTGCACGATATCCATGGAGTCAATCATACATTGAACAATTTTAAATCCCATATGCCATGCGATCTTGAGACCTTCCAGAATGGCCAATAACTCGGTTAAAGAAGGATCACCATGTGAACAATTGCCGGAGAAACCAGCTAACCAACGACCAGATACGTCCTGGATCAGACCACCAAAGCCCAGACGAGATTGATCAGAGAACCAACAACCATCAACATTCAAGTGAACAGTAGACAAGTTAAGAGGAAATAGGATAGGTGTGAGTTGAAAATCAGAAGAGAGTAACAAATGGAGATTCAAAGTATCCAAATAGATACACTTGACTAGATAATTCACTGACCAACAAGAAGAATCCAAAATCATGTTAGAACTTTTTAATATACAATTCAATGATATTTAAACTCAATAGAATTTTTTATATATATAATTGAAAAAGTGAATATACACTTTCAATCAAACTAAAATTATGCACGTATATATTATTATTAAATAAAATATATTATTAATATATAAATAAGAAAATTAGTAATTTAACAAATATAAATAATTGAATATAAATATAAATATATTAAAATAAAATTAATTACAATATAATATAATAATTAAGCTTTGGGGACCAACAAGTTACTAGTCACGGAGGAGGTAGAGTTACAGACACTTTGCATGATGAGGAGGGAGGAGTTGTCAAAGGATCAAGATGCCCAGTTAGTGAAAGGCCCAAATTTTCTTTCTTTTTTCTTTTTCTAACATTTATACTTTATCTGATATATATATATATATATATATATATATATATTACTAATCCACATAATTAAAATATGTTCTTATTTTCTAAAGAAAACAACATATATTTTATAAGTACTAATAATATAGTTAATATATTTACATTTTTAATTATAAATAATAATAAAATATCTAAGAAAAAATAC